ATGTCCCACTTGGCTAATAGAAATGGTTGTGATATATATGTTACAAGCATATTTTGAACTTTCCGAAACACCTTTTGAATTGATCCTATGTTATTTTTGTTGTGTATAATTACCTATTTTCAGTTTTTCCATTTTTGAAGCAATTATTTTTCGGTTAATGTTATAGCTTTGCCCTTCAACCAAATCAACCAAATCACCCAGCTTTGCTCACCTTTTTCTGAACAATGGAATTACAAATTCTTACTAATAGCATCAAGCATTTGTTTTAAGAAAAATTAAAGCATGTACATGCTGAAATCTAGCATCAAACATTCGCTTAAAAGAATCAGTAGAATTTGGTTAATTCTTAAGACGGTTTTGGGCATCTATTTCAGTTAGTATTACAGTTTTGTGGGGTTGTTATAAATCAGTTTTTTGAGCTACAGTAAAATAACAATAATAGACTATAAAAGTAGGCACAGGCCTTTATTTGTGTTGCTTGGCGTAGTTTTAAGCAGTCATTCTCATACTTATTTGTTTCGTTTGTCCTCTCTGTTTCTCTGATTTTCTGACTAGGTGTAGTTTATAGCAAAAAATGGAAGATACCCACTAAAACGTAGATCTTAATTTGTGTTGTTTGGAGTAGTTTATAGTAGCCATTCTCATACTTTATACATAGTATACTTTATAGTAGCCTTTCTGGATAGGTGTAGTTTGTAGCCAAAATGGAAGATACCCACTGAAGTATGTAGCTTAATCCGTGTTGTTTGGAGTAGTTTATAACAGTCATTCTCATACTTATTTTCTTCCCCTCTTTGTTCTCCTGATTTTTTGGGTAGGATTATGAGCTTTTTTAGTTGTGCTCACTATGTTCACATTCTTTGTTATAAATCATTTTTAATAGCTAAAGTAATACTGTACAACAACAATAATAGAGTATTACAGTATGTATGTAAACGTAGACCTTAATTTGTGTTGCTGGGAGTAATTTATAGCAATCTTTTCAATTTTACCAAATTCTTTACTAATCTTTTTAGCTTTTAATTTTGATAAGTTTATATGCATGCACTCAAAATGGATACATTACTCTTTGCTTAGATATTAACATTATTTGTTTTCTTAAGAGCTGCCACATGTAGCCTATGACCATTTTCTTTAGTCCTTAATGTATAACGAGCAAGTTAATCATTTTCTGATTTAAGGATGTTATCATTTTAAAGATTTTGTTATTACATACTTCGTATCTAAAAGTGAAAGTTCAAACTGTTGGCAAACGTCAAAGTTTTGCGTCAACACCCTTTGCACACTGAATTTTTGGTGGCCAATTCCATCGCTATTAATACTATTTATTCTGATATAAGGAAAGACTGTTGAGGGATGGCTTCAGGCACAGAGAGCAGGAGTCCTTCATCATGTTCCACCAGCAAGGATCTTAAATACCTCAACGGATAACAACGTTGATGCATCTGTTATCTGTTAGCTATTGTAGTTGGGGCTGGGTGCTAAAGGATGATACCAGCGAGTTTCTTGCAAGGGTAGGTTCACTGCCTTGACCGGGGCGGTGCTCTATGTTGGAGGAAGAATTAGTTGAAGTGTGGGAGACACTAAGCTGATTGAAAAATCAAGTGGATGTGGAATCAGATGCCATTCCGGCCATTTCTGAAACACGAAAGGGTTCAAACGAGGAAGGGTTTATCAAGTCTTTCATTCTCACCTCAGGCGTTGTGCAAGTATTTCATTCTCACCTCATACGTTGTGCGAACAAGGTTGCTCACACTTAGCTAGAGTGATCGGTTCTTTGTTTAAATGTCGAATTTGGGTTTTCAACTCTGCACTTATGTTATTGATGTATTGAAGATTCATGTTTGTGTCATGAATGTTATAATCTACGGAGTATATTTTTATAATTCATTTTGCACTTTAAGTCTTTATCAACATAGCATTTTTAGCATTATTATCATGAAGACTCATGTGGCTAATTTGAGTCGGTTCAATCGGTCGATCATTAATAATTCTTAACTAAATTCCAATATTGAACAATTCTAACGAACTACCTACAAAAATAGTCATTCTACTTGGTTCAAAATAAAATTAATCAATATAGATAAAATTTAGCAAAACCTATAATAAACACACATTTGACTTTTGTCGAAAAAGAGTTTGTATTGTAAATCTGCAATGGAGTGCAAAGACTGCACTTTATTCTTATTCAATAATACCTTCATATTACATACTCATACTTGACAACATTTCTTAAAAATGTACATTGTAGATAAAATTTAGTCAAATATACAATAAGGTTGACTTTTCTCGAACAAAAGTTTGACCATTTTAGTCACATTATAGTGCAAAGATCATTGCACTTGATGCCTATTCATTTATACTTTCTTATTATTACTCATATTTAAGTTTTAATTATCTTCTCTATTTTATAGGAAACCAAATATTGCACAACACTTGAAAAATCACGTTATATCCGTTTACACTTTTATAATTTCTTTAGACATTAAATACTCATGGGTGCCACCAACTACACGGATTTAGGCCACACTTTTCTACTCAGTTCAACTAATTGATCCGCTTACACTTCTTTGATTTCTATAACATTCATTATAATTTTTTAAAAAGGTATATCATGACATTACATTTTTCTCATCTAATACTCCGTAGCTCTTGATCAAAGAAAACAAGCAAATGACTAAATTCCGATACAGAAAATCTTAATTAAACACTTAGAAAAGTTGTTAGATTAGTTTGCCTAAATAAGAACAAAATTAGTTATTGTCAATAGAATTTAGCCAAATCCATAATTGACATCCGAAAAGACTTTATTCAAAAAAAGAGTTTGAGCTGCAATAGAGTGCAAAGACCATGCACTTTGTGAATTTTAAACTTTTAATTATTTTTTCTATAATTGATATTGTCAATTAATTTCACCTAATATTCTTTTAATTTTAGTATTTAATATTGCACTTATATTTTTATGATACTTACTATAAGAACTTTTTTGTAATAATGTTAAAATTTAATATTTTTTGTATTTAAATTAAACCCTGGATACAAATATATGCACAACAATTCTTTACCCGTGCGTATGCACGGGTACTGTACTAGTTTGAGTTTAAAGATAAGAACATCAATCCCAAATATCATTCATAAATATGATATTAATATGAGGAAGGCTTTTTATAAAGTGAATACCATTCATGCTGACCGAACAGATATACTAATAAATAATAACTTATATTTTTGATTGAATTTAGAATTTAGATACAACATACTAATAAACTCAAGTAATAAATAAAAGAATTTCGTCCAAATAAAAAATAAAATTTTCAATTTGTTGTCCAAAAGGTTCTTTCTCTTCCAATCCATGTATGATCATTCAATTCTCAATACCTCAAATTAAAACAATTCCTTACAATAGCCAAATGAATGATGAACTATGAGAAATGCTTTTATATACATGACAAACAAAGATGAATTAAACCATAAATTTTGTGTTATTTAGTAACTGCTAGAGTGTTTACACACACTAAGAAATTACAATTATCAGGCATTACAATTAATAATTAATTAGGAGTATGTGCCCTAATCACTTACAAAAAATAGAAACACTAATTATGTCAACTACCCGTTTCAATTCCACAAATGTGACAGTTCAATGACCCTTTCACCCTTACACATGAGGCCAAAATAAGTTCTACCAGATACTACCTCTGTCCCGCTAGAAGGTTCTCATAGCAAAACGACACGGTTATTTTGAGAAATAATTTAAATAGGTATATGTTATAATGTGTTAGTATTGATAATTGTGATGTTATAAATTGTATTATTTTTAATGTTTAATGACTAATTTGTCACTTAAGATTGTTAATTGTTTCTTAAAATGGAAATGGGAACCTTCTAATGGGACGTCCAAAAATGGAAAGTCAGAACCTTCTAACGGGACGGAGGGAGTATTAACATTCAATTGCAATAACGGAAGATTAGGAACTACTTTTCCTGCTTGGAAATATGAATAATAATATCACATATTATAGCTTGGTGTAATTGTGTAAAGTGTCACCAGGTTCAAATGAGTCAAGGTTTTTCATAGCATTAACCACTTGATTGAACAGATTTCCATCCTCAATCTAACTTGTCACATATCCTAATGTACCTATTGGAAAAATGTAATTGAAATGTTATATCATCAAATTGTGCCATTATCTAGATGAAGCAACTACATAAAAGGAAAGTTAGAAGAAATTACAACTTTCCTTTTCACCACTTCCTTGTTTTTCAACCTTCATCAGTAAATTTAAGCAGAGTTATAATCACTAAAAGTTATTAAGTCACTAAGAGTTATTAAGTCACATTTTTATTAATAATCTTTTATTAGTAATATTTTAGAAAAAAACCTCTATATATAAGAACAATAAAATAATGTTTAATGTGAGGAAGTGAAAACACACACATTTAACCTAATGTGATGCGCCATGTAGGTCATCTAGTGCACTTTTAAACTTTGCTTAAATCAATTTAATATTAAATAATCACGGTGACATTTTGGGAAATATTATGCTAAATGTGAAAAATACAATGAGCAAGCTTTATGATACATCATATTGGGGTAAATGTGCTTGTTCTCACGTTAAGTATTATTTTTAATTGATCCTAAATATATAAGGGAGGCTTCTATTTCTTGAAACAATAACTAATTTATAAATAATTATCAATTCATACAACGTTTTTATGTTTAATAGATAACTCAGAGGTCTGAGTTCATTGTGAACAATTTCAAGTAGTTTGTAAATTGTTGTTACTCAGTCCTTCCGTGCAACACACTGGTAAAAAACTAGTGTAAAAGTTAAAATGATATATGCTAAACATGTAGTTTTCGTGTCTAAGTTATTTATTTATATCCTAAAGATGAAGAAATGAAGATATATACAAATATTTTAATAAATATTAAAAAAGTCAAGTTTAAGTTTTTTCAGTTAAAAACCAAACCAAACGATTCTGTTTTGACCAAATTGTTACAAAATGGTTTACTTCATTGCCCCAAACCAAACCAAACAACCAATTTTCAATTTGGTTCGGCTCAATCAAATCGTTTTGCCAAGCCCTACTATAATGAGGCAAAGCAGTGATATTTACTAACTGCAGTTGCTACCAGAAGTTGTTAAATTATCAGCAGTAACCCAACAAGAGCTGCCGCCAAAAATCCGACCTTTCCACCCCTGCAATATCCAGTTACCCTCGTCCATAATCACAAAATCTTTGTGATATCCTGTCCTCACCTTTCGTCTCAACTCCTTCACGAGTTTAGGTTTTAGGGGCATCGGCTTAAAGCCAGCCCTCACTCAAAATGCGAGAATGCCACTGCTTGCATGTTTCAGGCCTCAACAATCTTTCCATGCCCTCACATGCTACGATATTCATTATATCCCGTCCTATAATTTGTTCAAAATTCAATCTATCATGATCATGGAGTGGATCATGGAGTGGCATAATAGCCTGACACATGACAAAGAAAGGAGAGCTGTGGGGTCCATTATTCGTTGCTTGGACATATATATGAGGACTTACTTCCCGTATTAATTTTAAAACTGCATCCCTATGGCTGTTGGTAACTACTGTCTCATCCAACAGGTACTCAAATCGAAGAAAACAGTTAACAGCAACCACCTCATCATTCAAAAGCTTTAAATCATCAACTTTAATAGTCTCCCAGTTATGCCTTGTTATCGCATTGTACTCGAACGGCACACCGTAACGCTGGCAGCATTTTGCCAAGCGGGAACCTGTATCTTCTACCATCTTCTCTGGACGAAAACCGGGTTGGGGAAGCTCAATTCCTGTTATTCGAAGTTTAGGAGGGCCACCACGTCTTTGAGAAAGATCTCGGATAAGAGTGGGCCACTGGATACCATAGAGAATCCCAAAGTCTATAACGTGCAGTGACACACCTTTGGACGCTACTTCACAAATCATTTTATTTGCAAAGAAAAGTCCCATTCTCATAAATGGCATAGGTGACATGTAGGACTTTAGCAGCTCTGGGACTATGAGGTCATTACCAGATAAAGCTTTATATGATTGTGACCCAGTTCCAGCCAAACGTGCCTCCAGACTGTTAGCAAACACATGAGCCACTTTTTGATTGGAGTCACCTGTAGAAGAAGAGTGCTGCCTGATCTCCTTTAATTGATCTTCTGCACTCCTATAATCAGTGGCAGCAATAGATTGTGCGCAACCGATTAAAAGAGACACCAGATCGACAATTTCACAATTAACTCCCTGTTTCTTTAGATGGCGGCGACCACTTCGCCCTTTTTGTCTCACTCCAGATGGAGAATCTTTATCCCCACCACCATCATCTTCAGCACACAGCAAAACCTTATCAAAAACCTCTGATAACTCAACCTCTTCCTTACATACTGCAGACTGTTTGCTGCTCCTTTCTTCTTCCACACCACTTTCTTCTGGATGATAATAATGCTTCTTTCCTCGACGGTTCGAGTCCACTGAATGGTACTTCTGTACCTTGGTGACATCAACATCTCTCAGTGATTCCTCATATTTCTCCAAATCATCATTGACCCGCTGATTACGGGCAGCTTGAAGGAACACACTAGCTTCTGCCACACCTCTCATGAATTCAGATAAGGACTCACTATCGTCAAAGCTACATAGAGAACCGTTTGACACATCTGATGATAATTGGATGGGGAGATCAGGGGGAGGCTCACTTGCCACACATGATTCGGGTTCTCCTGGATCAACACCATACCCGCAAGAGCTTCCAGGATTGCTGTGAATAATAGGCGGGGAAGGGTTCTCATGCAAGGCTTCGTAAAAGGCATTCTCAGCAGCTATAAGAGCACTGGGATCAATGAACATGTTGTGATTGTTCCCATCAATGCTCTCCTCCTCTAGTAGCATCTGGCTAATGTAATCCAGCACGGGATCAGAGTCCAAAGCAGGAGCATGAGTACCTGGGTTAGGAGGTTGTGCCATTGAAAGGGCATTCTTGTAACTGTCTGGAATGTCCACTGATGGTTTAAAGGTAGAGAAAATGATCTGATTATCCTACTTGAAACTGTTCATGGAGGAGTTAGGCAAGCTTCTGAGCCGATGATCCATAACCATATACTACAACCGACCTATAGCCACATATGGAACACAAATAAATAAACGGCAGCAATGATGAAACTAATGAGGCAGAACGTCGTAGGTCCATCTTGGCGGATAAATTGCAACTTTCTTATATTAGTCGTTATTAATTCTTTGATTATGTTCTGTTATTTTGTTGTAGCTATGGCTAAGGTTTGGTCCCCCTTGGTTTTTTCTACTTTCCGTATTTCTTTTACTTTCGTCTCATGTTTTGTGGAAGGTATGCCTTCCGGAGAGGTTTTGGTCTAGCTAGTCCCCCTCTCTGTTTGTATTCGTTCTTTTTCTCATCAATAAAACTCGGCAAATGTTCCCCGTCATTTGCCCCACTGATTTTGGTGGTTTGCCTTCCGGGTTAAAAAAAAGTACTATAACCACTCATGTTTTAAGCATTTTGAAGACAACTTGGATATCTAAAAACCAAAAATCTAGTCTGCCAGATGCAACTGTAATCAAAGGACTAGGTCATTCCACCTCAATGCTGGCGGTTTGAGTCACTCTTGACAATGTGGAACTAAAGATAATAAAATAATAAGCCAAAACATTTCAAGAGTTCCCAGAAATATGTGATACATTTAAAAAAACAAATCTTATCGAATGTTTCACCAAAAATTAAACAATTTCCGATTTACTATAAATAGAATCAAGCTTCTGAGCAATGCAATAGAACAATGGGTGACTGAACAACAAGTTGTACTCTACATAGCAATTAACCATTTCCCAATCACAAATATAAGTGCGTACCTTAGAATGAGAGGAGGGATATGATTTTTCAGAAATTCGAGGGCTGTGAAATAGCAGCAAAGTGAATGTGCTTAGTTAGCCCACAGAGTAATTAAGAAATAGGAAGAGAGAGAGGAATTTGAAGATTCTGAAACAAACCGTTAAGACTTAAAAGAGAATAAGAAATAAAACAAGAATATTACCCAAAATAAGTTAAAAATGTTTCAAAATTCCCAAATAAAATTGACGTGTTTGTATTCTGTTTTAGTACCAGAATTCAAACTTGGCAGTAAAATACTCCGTTCACGGCTGTCCGCAACCGGTGGGGTGAAAGCCCCAAATTTGAGCTATTCACCCCAATTAAGCCACAGGGAGTATGGAAAACCCATGGGAGGGACAACTATGCCCCATATCGACTCCTGCGAACAAAAGAGAGAGCATCGAAGGCAGCGCATGTTGCATCAAGGGAGAGCAGCAGGATGTGGGACTGAAGATAAAATAAAACAATCTTTTATTTAAATGGTTATAACTTTTTTATTTATAGTCGAAATTTTATAAAAAATATACCCAATTTCATAACTTTTTATGATCTTTCAAATGACATCAATATTGCATATATAAAGTTAAAAAATAATAATTGAAGTTTTAATTAAAAACATATTGAGTGAACATATTGACGGGGTTGGGTTGCAGGGAAAAACTGGATTGACTTCGTAAATACGTATAAACTGATAGAAAATTAGATTTATTGACGGGTTGGATTGCGGTTAACCTGGTAGTGTATATGAGTGAGAGCTTGGGCACCAAATTCATGGCCGTCTATAAACGTGGGTCTGTGAGTGCTCTGAGAACAAAGTTGATGATACATCGCCTAACTCCGTACCCCGTACTCATGTGATATTTCTATGTCAAATTGAATAATCATGCCAACAATTAAATTGAATAATTTTTTTATTTTTATTGAAATATTTTGTATTCATCTTCCTTCTTCATCGTTAGGATAATTTGTTTTTTAGATATATATGCAAAATGCATCTTTAATATATATGGATGACTGCATATCATTTTAAACTTACACATTTCATACGTAATCAGTATAACAAAGTTAACTAATACTACGATGTCGTTTGGCAACACTGTTTTTCGGTTTATCAGGCTTATCAGCCAACTTTTTCACCAAACACGTGACTTTTGCATTCGCGCGCTGAATTGTGTAATAAGCAGAAAAAGTAAGGTTGAAGTTATTTTCTGGCTGTATTGGCTGAAGTTACGGTAGACGACAATTTTTGCTATTTTTACATATAATTTTTTCCTTATTTTATTAATAAAATATATTTTAAAAATATTTTTTTCTTAAATCAGCAGAATCAGCCAATGCTGCCACTTCAGCCATAATTTCATATATTTCAGCAGAACCAGTCAAAACAGCCGAATTTCGCGCTATCAAACGGGCTCAATGTCTATGTACTCAAATCAATCTTGACCGTTCATTTATAAAGGATCTCACCGTTCATCTAAAATTTATCTGCATCCTTCTTCTAAAAGAAAAAATCTATTGTTACACACTTTTCATACACACACGTACACACTCGTGTCTGTGAAGAGTTTTTTTTGTCCTTATACGAGTGTGTTGTGTATACACACGTACACACGTCAAGAATATGTTGTGTCTGTATACACACACAAAAAACTCTTCACAGACACGAGTGTGTACGTGTGTGTATGAATCTTGCGTGTTAAACTTTGTTTCAGAAGAGATTGTGCCTGGTATGAGAAAACAAGTGTTTTTGGTTTCTAAGTTTTTTAAGATTCAATGATTTTAGTCCATCGCGCCAAAGTCACCCTTAAGAGGCTTTACTGTATGTCTCAGATAAATTTCTTAAAGCAAAGAATATGTTGGAGGCAATGGCCATCAGCATACATGTGACACCGCACCCGAATGTCCTTGGAGATTTGATTTAAATATTCAAAGTTTATGTATTGGATTTCTGATTCCCAAACAATTGTAAAACGATTAATGTTTTACGTAATTAATGATCGAATATTGTACTGTTCGAACTCGTATATTAGTGTCGGACATACAGATACTATTTGGGACTTATTAATAGATAAAGGAGCCCAACATTTTCTAAATAGTAATATATAACCTTTCAAGACAATTTGAGGAAGGTTGGGCGGCCCAAACATTTTTTTTGGCCCAACCTGCTAAAATAGCAAGTACTCGAGAATGGCGTTCTAGACCCACTCGGGAGTGACCCACACGGCTAGTAGCCCAATAATATGTATGACAAATGTCAAATAAGTGATAGAATGATTAAAGAAGAATACAAATGCCTACAACCCCACCTTTGGCCTTATTGAGCTAAATAATGGGAGTAAGATTTTCCTTCTATAATATCCATTAAGTAAATTATTGAGATGAGCCTACACATATTGGAGATCAATAATGTGATGTAGGAGGTTGACTTGTTCTAAATAAATTAGGATGAGTACAAAAAGACATCTTGATAAAAGATAAAACAATAGGACCCATCTTTCCATTTTTGGAAGTATTGGTAGATATTTTGGACCCCAAGATGAATGGGATCAATTGGGAACCATTCCACATGGACTTAGTACCTGCAAAATAAATGAAAAGAGGTGAGAAGACTATATGGGGCGGACTCTTAGCTCACATGCACAAAAACTCCAAGAGAAAACAAAAGGGGGAGGTCCACCCCATATTTGATTGCAAACCAAATATCTCCCATGTTCTTTTGTGAGCCACATACTCTTTTAGCATGTTTAGGGTCTCCTAATACACTCCCCCTACACCCCATTCGAACCCCCAAAGAGATAAGGGAGCAAGGGAATCCACACAACCCAAGAGAGAAGGAAGGAGGAGAGCAGTCCGCAGGTTCGTTCTTCAGTGCGTAGCTCTGATTGTTTGAGCCATAACTTGAGATTTACTCATCCAAATAAGGCGTGCGAGATACCAACATAAAGCTCTCGAGACGAGGAATCCTTGAAGGTCTGGTTTGCATCAATCGGAGTAGTGGAAGGCTTCCAAATCGACCGAGCAAAACACGACCTCGCAGAATACGCTTTTGTATTCAAAGTAAGTTTGAATCCAAAACCTTCCTCTCTATTGTCTAAACCATATAAATGATTGAAGAACTATTATACACTGATTTAGGTGTATAAAATGTTATTATAAAGTGACTTTAATTGTTGGAAAAGTTAGATACTAATTGTTGGAGTTGAACTAGCACTTTGAAGAGGCTGTTTAACACTCAATTCCAAGCAAGGAATCAGTTCTCAATCTTCCTTGGCCAAAGCTTTGACCATTGGATCAAGAAAGAAAGGTTTAAAGCTCAATTAAGGTGAGGACCGACATCTAGTTGCTTACAACTTGTAGGTTATGCATGAGATTACCTAAATGCTTAAATCATGTTTTTGTGAATAAATATGCTTGAACATGATATGAATGATAAGAAATGGACTTGATCATGAATTGAAACCATATTGATGAATATGGAGTTATGTGAGATAAAAGTATGCTAATATGGTAAATTGACCTTCCAACTGATGTCTGAATGTTATGTGTATGTAAATGTATAATTGCATGATGATGCTTAGCACATGGGAGGCTGCCACATATCTATTGATATGGAGGGGCTACCATTAATGATAAATGAGTTGTAGGAATAATCTTAATAGTATTGTGATGCTAGTTAAGAATTGTTCTAAATGTTGATAGAATCAAACTTAAAGGTTGAGTTTGTTTGTGATGAACTTGAATAAGATTCAAGTGTCAATTGTGATTTCATAGAGTAAGTGATCTATGGTGTGATTGTACGAAGTAGGAGATCTATGGTGTGATTGTATGAAGTAGGAGATCTATGGGGTGAATACATGAAGTAGGAGATCTATGATATGATTACATGAAGTAGAAGATCTATGATGCGAGTGCACGATGATGTACTCGAGCCGAACTCTAGAAATGAGAAGTTATATTAGGGTTGGACCCTATGTATGTCGTGGCTATTAGTCACGGGGTTTGGGAAATGTTTTGTGATAAACATGGGCCTTTGAGCCGACTACTTGACTTTATATAAAGTAAGTATATATTTTGAAGGGGTAATTTGGGATTACAACCTAAACTATACTATCACCCTATTTGAGGGTCTTGTGTGTGAAATACTTGTTGTATATCTATTAGATGCCTGCCACACCAGTACTTTATAGCCGTATAGAGTACTGACCCCTTCGGGGGCGTCCCACACTCATTTCAGGTTGAGGCTAGAGCTTGCATCCTGTGCTCGTTGATCGAGTGATCCCTAGGAGAGAAGACTTGGTTCGTGCTTCCTCCATTCTATTTGAAACATTAATAAATTTGCTCATGGATATTTTACCTTAGAGCCTGCGTGCTCATGAATAGCCCTGTGTGGCCCTTTTGTTTTAAACAATGTTTTCCGCTGCGTTATGAATTACTTATTATGTTTGTTTATGGATGTTATGTGTGTGAATGATATTCAAGACGCCTTGTTTAATATGAATGTGTTGGACTGCGGTTGACTATTCGTATTGTACGGCGGGTTGTTGACGTGTCCGGGGAGGTCCGGGGCGTGACAATACATGTTCTTACACATGTGGCTTGAGAGACGTGGACAAAAAAATTGTTCTCTTGATGAGAAGAATTTCTATCTTAAGAGGTAATAAAATGGAAAAAGAATTTGACTGTAGGATGCCTGGTTCGCTTTCCCTTTAGCAATGACTTCAGGTATGATGTCCAAATAAAAATTGTTACTTTTTATGTAATTTGTTTCCTACATAATGTTATAATCTCAAATCATATTGGTTGTTGGGCACTTGGGCATCCTTAATACAGAGTTATTTATGAAATGCTCATCAAATGGACATCTATTTTAAAATGCTTAGAGTTTTTATACCTAAAAATATGAGTGTATTTAGTTAGAAGTCACTGTCTTTTTTTTTTTCACTTTTTACATTGAATAGCAATGTTGCTGAAGTAAAAAAAGTTGGGGCATGAAAAGATGAATAAAGAAGTGCAAAACAAAGCAGGTTTTTTTCATAAAGCAGTTTACAGTGGACCTTTATTAAGATATCTTTTAAAATATGGTAAGATTCTTCCATTGGACTTTTGTTGTAAAGCTTCACCATTTTTTCCCGATTTGGACCTGTAGCATTCCTAGATTTCATGTTTGTCTATACATTCATGTAGGATTCAATATTTTTGTGGTTAAAAAAGCCCTCAATACATGTTAAAATAGTATTGGACTCATTTGCTTGCCAAAAAATAGATTTTATGAATTTTAATGTTATTACTTGACACTATAGGGCTGCTACTTTGATTACTGGTGATTTCTATATTAATATTTGAGTATAAATCTCTCAGAAGTTTGTTATGGTGATTTGTTACCAGTTCCTATTTAAATAGCTTTATATACCAGTTCTAAGCAAATTTGCCAAGATTTGAAATACTTATCCATTCTTTTACAACAACTATGCTGGAATTTCATATTGGTATTATGGCTTTATCTTCATAGTGGTTGGGCAATATGATTTTGTTTGTCATGGATATGTACACATTGCAGTGTCACCCAGTAGTTTACAGGTTTACTTGGTGGAGTGTATATTGGCATTTGTTTTTCACTTTCTATATGTCAAGGCAAGATATTTTTCATTGAGCTAGGAGAGAAACCCACCGATCCTCTACACTAACATAGCGGCTAAGTAATACGAAGTATGATTTTGTTTGTCATGCATCTGTACACATTGTGTTGTCACTCAGTAGTTTATAGGGTTACTTGGTGTAGTTTTTTTTTTGCTTTTGTTTTTCACTTTCTATATATAAAGACAATATATTTCTCATTTAGCATATTGTCAGCTTTTGAGAAAATTTAGCTTCACAAACTTTAACCTCATAGTGATGTTTCTTCAACTCTATCTGATAATAGCTACAATCTCCTTTGAAGCGGCAGAAATCAGCACAA